CACGACGCTTGCCGGAGTTCCCTGAGTAAAAGTAAGCATAGGTTGGCACAGATGACTCACTATTCCCGCAGTGTATCAGTACACTGTCACGTACGTCCCGTCGACTGTCTCTACGTGGATGTGAAGTGTTTTTACTGACGACAAACAGCAGTTAAGCCAACAGACAGGGTTTCCTGCGGTGCAGACAGCCTGCCAAACCCGCGCTCCACCACAGAATGCTGAAATTCAGGTGCGACTTTAACCAAATACTTCGTCGACCAAGTGCTTGCTGATAAATGTACTGGAGCCGTACTCATCTTCCTGTTTAGCAAGAAAACTCAGCAAGTTATTTCCCTAAATCCACTCCCATCTATCTCAGTTCTGCACATATTATCTGTTTCCCAGCTCACGTGGTTTACCCTAAGCTCTGCCCGCCCTGAGATGCTCTGGCAAAGAGGAGGTGATGCCTTTAAACTGCAGACCCCTGGGAGGGCTCTCTCTCTCCAAATAAGCCTGCCTTAAGATCGCAGCAGCAATCTTCTGTAGCCAAATAAAACTGCAAAATTCTGTCTGGAGTGAAGGTCCCAAGCTCTTGAGCTGCAGACCCAAAGCACGTGGCTTCTTTATCATGATTTTCTGTCTGACAAGAGAGATACACCGGCTCCAGTCAAACTACATCTGCTGTTATTTCACAGTGCGTGACGGGGAAGCTAGCCTGAGCTCAGGGAGGCCGGACTGACAGTTTAACAGAGTGCTGTTCCTCGTCTCACCAAGTGCTAAACGCTTGTCATTTTATGTCAGCTCTCCATGCACCAAATATATAACCACAATATCGCCAGTTAAGAACAACTCAACGTGCATGTGAAACACATTTCAACAGCTTCGCACTGAAGCTAACGTCTAATTGCAGCAAGCAAGGCATTTCATAACAACAGTTCAGCAAGTTACCAAGTACTGCCAATGTACCGCTGACTCACTTTTATAACTGCTATAAACTAAATTCCGTGGGGTTCAGACCTGCGGTATCCGCCTGGGAGCACCAGGATACTACCATGTATCAGCTAGACTGCCCAGGCCATAACCTTTCAGGACCCCTTGAAAAAGAACTTTAAAATCAATATGTAATTTAACAAGACATTAATGCACAGATTTTTAAAAGAGGTGCAACATGCTCAAGGAGGCCAAGTTTCTGTAAGAAGGAAAGTCTGCATTCGGAATAAAATCAATCCTATAAATGATGTAGGCTCCTACAAATGGAAAATTCAGAAAGCCAGTCTTGAAAAAATAAAGGCAATTATTACTACCTTCAAGTCTTTTACTATGCACTGATCCTTGACTAATGACATTCACTAGATGGTTTTAAAAAGACAAAACATTAATAACAATTCTAGCGAATATATCTTAATACATTTGTCAACAGCATGTCACTTGGAATTCTAACACTTGAGATGACTACATTCATAAACTGGATAATCAGAGATGGAACACTCAAACTAGGTAGGGCAGGTAACTACTACTGGATTCTGACTTGTAATATCTAGCAAAGATGTCCCGTGATACTTCAATTACGCTAATAAAAATTAATAATGAAGCTGTTCAATAAATAGCCTCCTGACATGGTAAAAAGCAGTCTTGTCCAGCTCAAAGGAATAAACTGAATATGTAATTATTTATGCAGTTATTTCCCAGTAATTCTGAAACATACATATATTTTGAACGACAGACAAAATGTGAAAGGCTTTGTTTTCTTCTTCAAACAGAGGCACTGTGTCTTTTAGGCTCGTTGACCATTGCCATAACAAATAACTGCGGGACTCGCGCGCTCTGTCTGAAACTTCTGCTAAAGGATTTTCTTGGTAGCCAACAGGGAAACAAAACAAGAAGCCTACGCGGGATATTCTTGTATCACCACAAGTATCATTTACAGACAGCTGAAAAAAAGGAGTATGTTCTGCTAGGTATTATCATATACCTCAAAAATTCCCAAATGACATCAGCGTCCAATACCTGTTGTGAGAAGTAACTGCTCAACGACTCTTGCAGGTCAGCGTGTTGGGTTGTCTGATAAACAGTAAGGCATTCCAGAGGTATACCTGGAATCAGAATACGCATTCACAATTAAACAGGGTTTCATTAATTTCTATTATTTCAATAAAACACTCTCAACATACTAACTGCACTTAGGCGTACTATTTTAGGCTAAAAAGATACAGAAAAAATTCTGTGAAGGATTTGGAGGTATTTCTAGACTTGCAAGAGACACCAAAGCATCTGTACTCAGAGGGCCTCAAAGCCACATTGGAAAAGTGGCAAGTCTTGCAACGTTTCTGTGAATCAGTTACCTTCCCTCTCACAGAAGAGTGAAGAAGGCGGCACATAACCGTGCTCATGTCACGCTACAGCTCAGTCCCAGAGCTGCGGGCAGCAACCCAACCTCACAGTTCTTACTCCCATCCTCTAACTTCTAGTCAACATAACAGCAATTCAATTTTTACTTCTTCAAATTCGGTTCACTAGCTTTAGAGACACCTTTTCTCATAACTGACTAATTAAAATGAGGCTCCAAGGGAAGTTCAACCTTTTTCTCTAAGTACTGTAGGAAGTACTTCTCTTTTCAGGGCTCCACAAGGAAAAAGAAGAGCTGAGGAATTAGGTTTCTCTCCTGTAAACACAGAAACAAGAACTCTAATTAACTTACGTCTTTATTAGAGTAATCACGATACATTTAATACATTTTAAAGGTATCAAACGTTGAACACTGCAGTAAATGCTGCGTGCTTCATCGCAGACACAGCCCTAAGATAACGGAAGACATCTGCAGTGCAACTGCATCCACAAGTCAGAGGACAGAGGCTACTTAGCATGTAAATTAAAAAATATTCCGTAACTACAATACGAATACATTGGCTAAAAAGATCTCACGAAAGATAAACTGCATTTCTATTCCCCTTGCCATTCTAAAAAGCAAAACAAGTGCTGCGCAAGTTATCTCCTCCTCCGCAGAAACACAATCATCTTCCTCACTTTTACATTTAAAATCATAGTCCCACGCAATACATGACGGCTCCCTCTATACAAAAGAACGTTCAGGCAGACAAAGAAAAGCTTTGCTTTGAAAAACTTTGCTGAACAGTTTCAATCTATCTGAAAGTCTTATTTTCTTACTTCCCTGAGGAAAAATGATTCTACCTCCATTGCTAGGGTGGAGGTGGATATCCTCACTTGCTCTTGTCCTTTAAAATGGAAGTGAGCTCCAACCTTAACTATCGTTACGTTGCCAATGTGTGAAAGCCCCTTGGAGATTCTGGAAGGGCCTTTCGGATACATGGCTGCTCATAACTTAACTCTGGTAGGACATGATACACCTGGGATGCAGTTTCCATAGGTTTTTGTGTTTCTAATACATTATCGGAGGATATCTGCTTAAAAAAATACCACCAGGTCATCGTATTCATGTCGCCACCTCTTGGGTTGCACCTCCTCCGTTCGGGCAGCCGCCCCGTCCCGGCGCGCCCCGCGCACCCCCACGCGCCGGGGACAGGCAAGGGCAAACACTGACAGTAAGCGTCACATCGTGAGTGCAGACGCATTCCTGGCTCGGGAAGAAGGAAACAGCACTGTCTGTAGGAGATTCGCAGTATTTGTTCAGGGCTTAGACTAATTTTTTGGAAAGTTTTTCACTACTAGATTTTATCTAATACAAGTGAATATTGACACTCTGCAAAAGATAAAGAGCATTTTAATCAAGGAAGAATTCAATTTCTGGATAGGAATTTAACAGCAGACTTCTTTTGCACAGAGCTCGCCTTTTCTATAAATAACAAATACAGAGAAAATTTCAAGACTAAATTCTACACAGCCACACACAGTTTTGCATTCATCTTTCAAAATAAATGAGAGTTCCTTAAAACATTATTTTATTACTAATTCAGATATGTTAATACACGTGTTTAAGAAACGACTACTAGAAAAATAAATGTTTTTTTTAAAGTGCTGGAAATAGATTCTTGGTTTATAACAGTAAGCATCAGTGATGCCTCAGGACAAAAAAAAAAGGACAATGTAGTAAATTCGAACGGAAAGACCCTAGTAGGAGTCAACACAGATATATCTGACTGTCCTAAATGGACACTGAAGTTTTATCAGAAGCCATAGATACGCTGGTAATAAATTACAGGAAGGAAGAATGAACACGGGACAGAATGTAAAAGAGATTTTAAAATAGTAAGATAAAACCTAAATATTTCAGCACTAATCCTCCTACAACTCATGTCAGTTAATTGAAACGTCCACGTGATATCTGTAAAGAAACACTAATCCTTTTTGACTCGTGTTTACAAAGCACAGAAAAACTCCTTAGTAGGCCCAAGCAATGCAACAAGCATTGGCCCTAATGGTATCCCCTGCTTTGGTAACCAACACAAATGTTACACTGTAATAAAACTAAAAAAAATATTTGCCTTGAAAAGAGAGTAAAGCTAGCTAGCTTGTTAAGGAGTAAATTCCTTTATTTTCCCAATCACTTAGGCTAGAGTGGGTACCAAAGCACAAAAGGTGAATAACAAAAGAAATATCATTGCTTCAGATTTTATTCTGACAATAAATTCTAATGATATAAAAGATTTAGAGCCATTCTTTTCATTTACTTATCATTTTATGTGTAAACAAAAATAAACATATACATAATAGGCAACGTGATGTAATTTAATCTGTACTTCAGAGGTTGTTACACACCACTTGATAAATTGAGAGCGCATAAATATGCCCAATCCAATAAATCACTGAGCATGACTATACGTATCAACAACAAGCAGTCTCCAACGACAGAAATTCACTGGTGGGTTATCAAAACTGAAGGGTATTCAAAGGCAGTCATTTTTGCAAGGATAAGGGAAGTGTTGCAGCATTGTGTTAATTTAAACAGCCTGGGGGTGTTCAGGTATAGAATCATAGAATCACAGAATCGTTTAGGTTGGAAAGGACCCTTAAGATCATCAAATCCAATGTTACCCCAGCGCTGCCAAGGCCACCACTAAACCATGTCCCTAAGCACCATGTCTCCCTGGCTTTTAAATCCCTCCAGGGATGGGGACCCAACCCCTGCCCTGGGCAGCCTGGGCCAGGGCCTGACAGCCCTTTCGGTGAAGTTTCTCCTGATATCCAACCCAAACCTCCCCTGGCGCAGCTTGAGGCCGTTCCCTCTCGTCCCATCTGAGCCCCCCCAGCTCCCCCAGCCGCTCCTCCCCAGCCTTGGGCTCCAGCCCCTGCCCCAGCCTCGCTGCCCTGCTCTGGCCACGCTCCAGCCCCTCCATGGCCGCCTTGGGGTGAGGGGCCCAGCGCTGAGCACAGCATTCGAGGGGCAGCCTCACCAGTGCCCAGTGCAGGGGCAGAAACCGCCCTCAGGACACTCCATGGAAAAGGCTGTAAAACACACAGATCTCTCTGGCCCTGTGGTGGCTACCAGAAGCTGCTGCTGGCTCTGGACTGAATTTCTCTGCTGTCACCAGAAAGCGCTGTTCCCTGTCCGGCTCCCTCTGCGACTGTCAGCTCCTAACTTTGCAGGAGCGTGCAGGCAACGCAGGGAAACAGCCACGGGATCCAACACAGTCAGAAGTAACGGGGTCGGTGAACCAAGCAGCTCCTAAGGGACGAGGAAGAGCCAGGATGATCCTCACCTGGCCTGAGAAAATAGCCAAGAAGAGGTTAAGATGCAATAACTGCCAGCCACAGGCTCACCGTCGAGGAATTTTTTCCACCCCTGGTATTAGACACACTGTTTTCTTTAGACATGATCCTAGGTTTTTTTTCACATTCATACAACAGAAGAGACAGGTATTTTTCTTGTCGTCCTTCTCCAAAGCACTCCTTCTGCAAACTGGCAAACATTAATTCATTACCAAAACTAGATTTCCTAGCACTGAGAAATCAGCTAAAACCTGTCTTTGTTTTAAAATATCTGTTGAAGAGTAGACATGGGTTATTCTTCACTTATGGCATTTTTGTGTTGAAAATTTCATTTTTAATTTTCAGAATTTATTATTTAATCTTGTGTTGACAACTATCATTTTTATCATGAAATATTCCTTATAGTTAAAATATTTTATTTGCCAATGAATTACAGAGCAGTCTGCCCATAAAAAAACAATACTTGCCAGCTCCAATCAATTTTTCTATTACCTATAAATCTCTGCTACTACACAGGCTTTGCTAATCAACACTCTCTTTCATATCTAATGTTACGCCTAGCAGCCAAAAAAACCCACGTCAGGATTCTTAACATCATTTCCACTACTGAAGCACCTAGCACCTTATTCAGCAAATCCATAAAGTGTGGTCAGCAGCAGGGCTTTTAAACCAGCAGATACAGTAATTCATCCAACATCTAGAATAATTGCACTGATTCTCATTTGTTTCTCTGACTAGGGTTAGCCAGAGGCAGGCTATTCACCTTGACCGGCTGAATGACATGGCTTTTCAAAGCGGTGGTGGTTCTCTGTTCAATCAGCGGACGCTGCACGGTGAGATACTGCACCTTAGGTGTGATTTTCACCTGGTACAGAGATTATTTTAGCAGTGAGTTTCAGAGAGCCCGGGACTAATCTGCTGACTTCTTTCACTAACTCCTCCTCCCAGCCGATACTGAGACGGACACTTTGAAGGCACGCGCACCTCAGCCGTGGATCCCCGGGAACACCGCCACGGCCGTCAGAAGCTCTGAGGGCAAACTCCCTGCGCTGGCAGCTCCTGCTTATGATATTCTTCATCCAAGTTCTACAACCCAGGCTGCACAAAAACACAGCTGCTTTTTTCACAGCTTGTACTGACCCATCCGCTCAAAAAACAATCAGCCCCTAAGCCTAGAAATGTTTCTTATTACTATTGGAAATTTTAACACATCACAGTAAAAAAAAAAAAAAAAAAAAAAAAGTAGACTAACTAGACTTTTAAAATGACCCAACAATCTGGTAATGCATTGAGAAGCAGCAAACAGATCAGCATTACAGCTTTAACCATAACCAAATGGTTAAACAAAACGTGAACCATCATTTTAACTAACACCTTCTGCAACTTCTTCAAAACCACTCTCCTTTGGTGCTGAAAAATAGATTCCTCTGAAACCACGCGTTCATTCTGAGGAAAGGAGTTTCCCTTATCCACTCTGAACTACGGCATGGCGAAAAATCCCCAGCATCAACTGGTTTGAAGCAAGGCAAGTCAGGTCACCCAAAGTTCACAGAGAACCAGCACACCCATAGTCACAATCATTTAAATCTTAGGACTAAGCAGCAATTTCCAGTCATTACAGCTCTGATCTTTTAGTAAAAAAAATACTTTGTCTATTGGGTCATATAGTATTATTAATCAATTACAGAGTCAGAGATATCATGTAAATTAATATTTAGTATAGGTATTTCAAAGTATTTTTCATGATCCTTTAGAGGTATCACTCACATTCCCAGAAGTTGAATTCATGGGTTATACATAAAAGAGATATATGCAGTATGTACTTCTCTGCTTCAGCGTACACTCGATTTTATTTATAGGAAATTCTGAAACCATGGAAGGTATATTAGCTTTATTGAAGTAGAAGATTTTAGATACTTACTTGAGCAAATATATTCAGCTAATTTTTCAGCATTTCCAGACTTTTCTCCTTCTGGAATAAGGCCAATTTCTTCCACTATAACCAAAAGTAGCAAAGAAAAACACTGAAATCCATGAGAACAGTTCAGATTTACTGTCACAGAAACATAGGTTGGAAAGGGAGACACAACTTGATCCCCACACGCAAATATTTCTTTGAAAAGCAAAAAAATTAGAGCACTTGAAGCAGTAACGTGCTACGAAAAATTCGATTTTGGCTCTAGAAAGACACACATGAAAGAAGTACAAATGAAGAATTCTGGGGATAGCTAGGCTGTTTTGGAGGGGTTTTTTTTAAACTCTTGTACCTGAAGCGGTGAAACTGCCTGACTATGCTGAACGGGCTGCCGTTCCTGGCATGGTTTGGCTGCAACTAGCTTCCCAAGGAGCGTATCGCTGTTCTTTCTAGTGAAGGCTGAAATCCTATCGGAAAACCTGAGAGTATAACACTGCTCCTATTTAAGCAAGTAGGGATAAGACGAACCCCTGAGAAGTTAACTAATTTGGGACTTGACTGATTCAAGATGCTCGTTAGGTGTCACCAGCTGGTGATCCAGTGTTGTTACCAGCCTGCCTGAAAAACTACGCTTTTTATAGAGGTAGCCAGTACTTACCAAATTATTTTCGGACTGGAAGCAGAAAAACATCAAGACTTTTAAAATTCTCTCATGTTAGTCTTTTCATAATATTTCCTATGTGGTTCAGTGGAAGCTAAAGCTACAACGCAATTTTACAACGAGAAAGGCTTTCATAAACTCTGTATTGCATTTTTGTTATGCACATAAAATATGTATTGCATCAGATTAAAACCAGTGTCAAGACAAATAAAGCCGCTGACCCACTGCGGACAACGGGATGTATACTGCTGACTTCTGTTTGGCCAATGCCTCACAGGAACACCGAGGGAATGAAGGGCATCACACTGTGTACAATCTCAGACAACCATGTTATAATCCCGGTCATCCAATTTAATTTGCAAAGTGAATGAAAAAAACACACATGTCAATTAAGAACGGGTTTTTTTCTTTTTTGACCAGATTTTTAAAGTAGTTACCATCACATTACAATAAAAGTAATGAAAAACCAGAACCTAGATCCTTAGATGAAGCACGTATTGTTCTAATGTCCATACCATTACCTGTTTTCAAAATTATCAATTTATAAAACTTAATGATATTTTTTCCTAAGCACCCTTGAATAGCAGCTAATACTCCAAAAATTGTACTTACAAGACAGATTTATCTAAGATATCTTTTTTTAAACCCCCGCTTACCTAGAGAAGCTGTAGCTTTTCCTACCACGTATGCCGGTTTGGTATTCCATCTTGGTTTAAGAGATTTTGACCAGGCTGAAGAACATTACATTAAATTTAAGCATGTGGCAACAAAATATGAATGCTAAATGAGTGTTTGGACTTCTGTTTAATCTACAAATAAAGCAAAATAATAACAACTAATACTCCACTACGTATTTCAGCAAATCAGGATGTACAAAATGAATTTTTAATGTATTTTTTCATTGTGTAAATAGCAGTCCATAACATGTTTTTAAAAGCCTAATTTGAGTAAACAGTTCTTAGCTGCTTTTGTTAAGTAGCATTTTTAATGCACACTTGCCCTATGCCAGATCGCGTGCGATTTGCAATGTTCATTTATATTTTGGCATTAAGAATTTAAAAGAGCATCAAAACTCATAGGAAAACAGCACATAGTACAAAGGGAGATTTAGACATACAAACTGGTGGTTTAAAACTGAAGGCTTAGGCAAAAAACAAATATAATCTTCTATGACAACAAATAAAAGGGTAAAAATCTATATCCATGCACTACAATACTCTGTTAATGCAACTCTTTCTTCTACAAGAAAAATATAGAAAAAAAAGTTATCAGCTCAGAAATAAAATGTACCAGAGACCAAAATAAAATTGCTAGGCAATGGTTCTCCTCCTTCAGGCAGTAAGCAGGTTATAGATTACACCTCCTGGGCCCAGCTACCTGATTCCTATGCCTGAAATCCTAATGGGTCAAAAACACTAAGTCTTTTACTATCTTGTCTTAACACAATACGGCATAGGACACCGAGTTCCTTTCTAGTGTTTTTGGGGAAAAAATTAGAAATAGAAACTACAACAGTAAAAAAAAGAATCAGAGGAAACTATTCTAAAGAAGGAAAAAGATAAGGGTTTACTACTTTTGAAAGGAACCCAAATAGGAACTAAAGACTCATTTTATTGATTAAAATATATATTTCAGCAGCTCCCAAAATTCCTAATCAAGATTAGGGATGAACTCTAGATAAGAGATTACATTTGACCAAAAATCCTAAAATATAGTCCTCCGCTGTTGAAAATGTTAAAATAAACGAACAGTCTCAGTGTATTTACTGCTTCCTCAAGAGTGTAACCTCGCTCGCTGTACATTGACTAGTACGACCACAGTCCACATATGGAGCAGATAAAGTAATCAAACAATTTAAGTGAACACAGAAACTCAAAGCCAGAAGTTATAGAATAGAATCATAGAATCATAGAATCGTTTAGGTTGGAAAAGACCTTTAAGCTGATCAGGTCCACCCGTTAGCCCAGCACTGCCAAGGCCACCACTAAACCATGGCCCTAAGCACCACGTCTCCCCGGCTTTTAAAGACGTCCAGGGATGGGGACTCTTATGACTTAGCATAAGAATTTAGAAGAGTTTACAAGGATTTGGCAGATCATTGGCATGGTAATTTCTATTTAGCACTCTGCAGGATTCTTACAATTAATCTGTTGGCTTTTATGTATCACCATTTCTTCACTGCTTTTTAGCTAATACATAATTCACTTGAGAAACTTTATATTCAAGACAGAGAAATCTCTTTTTCTGTAAGACTTCGTATGAATTATATAGGCACAGAAGTAGCAGCGGCCAGTTTCTATAACGTGCTCCTCTCTTTAAGGAAAGAAAGTAGTTAGTAAGCAAAACTAGGCACGACAGCAAAATATTCCTTATGCATGAGATAACCACAACTGAAAAAGCCCACACTAATTAGTAATTCACACCAAAAGCTCTTTCCTTTCATTTTTAACAACAGCGTAAGTGCAGAAAACCCAATCCTTAAAAGCTCAGTTTAGCGTGATGCCTTTATGATGCCAAAAGAACTATGAGATAAAGCTTTTTTAAAAAAGGTGTGCTCCAAACACCTATGTATGGGTGAAATACAATTACAAACTTCACAAAATACTGAAACAGAAAGACCAAGGAATATAAACAGGCACTTACCTTCATTTTTACTGTTCTCTTTTAAACATATCTTGATGGCTTCTAATGCTCTTGGACTGGTAAAAACTAGGCCTCCGTAACATTCTGGATGAGAGAGCTACTTATAAAAAGTAAATTTAAAAGTAAATAAAAAAGAGTAAATAAAAAATCAGTAAATAAATTAAAAAAATAAGTTGATCAATTCTTTATAATCTTGTGAAGAACAGAACAGCTTCAGTAAATGTCTGAAACTGAAACGAGCAAATATTTCATTACAATCAGTACCAAAGTATTTATAAGAGAAACAACTCTCAAGTTCAGAACAAAACTTGCACAGACTATACTAATTCTGAGAATCTGGAGGAATGGACAAGGATTCCTGTCACTGAAATGAGCTGGACGGATGGGCGAACGACGTACGAGGTACTTACAAATTCATACAAGGGAACAAAGTAGTAACACAGAGGGTACTACCCAGACAGCTCCCTGCCCCCTGCCTCCTCAAAGAACAGTTAAGATTACTAAGGGGCTCTCAAAGATCAGTACAAAAAAAGGAAAAATGTTCTTGGATCACTTGTAAATGCAGCTCATGATACACTCAAACACCTAACGAAGTGCAGTGCTGTTGGAGATTGCCAATAAAGGGAACCTCCCTCGGAAAACCTTTCCAACATTTTAAAATGAAATATATACATTGAAGAAAGAGTAGAAAGAGAACACTGATTCTGAAATTTTATTCCATGTAACCAGGAGATGCAGTACACAATTTCAGTACAATGTAAGGGTGAACCTCAGGTAACCTTTAGTTGTCACTACAGTCTCCTAATTTTCTGTTGTGACAAAATGCCCCAGTACCTGTGACTATCTATGGTCCATCAGCCTAAATGTGAATTCTATCTGACCAACTTAATTCTCTAACAAGTATGGGCAACATACTTGATGTTGTATACACTATTGTATTGTATGCAACTGTGTCTGTGGAAACACGAAAAGAAGTGTACCAGAAACGGCGTTATTAAATCAAGATAAGACATGGCATCTTGGCAACCATGGCCTAAATTCTGTTGAAAATAAGACAACTGAAATAACTCAGAACTTACCTTTTCAAATAAGCTTTCAAGAGATATGAATTCAAATGCCAAAACTGGAATCAAAGTTGCTTCAATTCCGTATAATCCTAATTCCTAGCAAGAAAAAGGTTTAGAGCTCTTGAAATAGATTGCAAACAGTAGTGTTTTCTTTTTCAAAGAATTGACTAAGTCAGCACAAATATTTCTTTTTACTAAAGTAAAATACAAAGGCATCTTATTTGCTTTTACTAGTGAATCTAGTTTGGTTTTGTTAGTTATTTAGTATTATAACATAATACTAAACAGCTGTGGAACTGAGGCCTCCTACATAGCTACTGAATAGTTACAGTATACACCAGCACGTCACTCTCAAGTCCCTAAGTGACAAACGATCACCTCGTCCTGCAAATATTCTTGTGTGTCTCTGTAATTTTTTAAAGCCGATAGAACTGCTCTTACAAGTAAGACCTACTCACATGACTACAGGCAACAGCAGAAGGGACCACAGCAACAGGTAACCTCTTTTTCACATTACATTCCCAGTAAGACTACTAACATTTCTTGTAATCTTAATTCTATCCATATGAACATAATCAATATTAATTAATTAAAATGAAATTGTTTTAATATCAGTACTTTGCTGAGAGCTTTAATGGTGAATTCAGTACGAATGCCCCATAACTAAAATAATTTTTTCAGTAACAGCAAATTTTCTAGCATACTTTTTTTCCTAGCATAACTTCAGACATGCACTCCTAATTTTGATTAAGCACGTTTTTCACTTGAAACCATTATATCAATCTATCTTGCTGAACACATGATACTATTAAATAGTGAAGCGACAGAATTGTTTACTTTTTTTAAAGTTTACTCACTTTAATATACGGATCTTGTCCTGAATCTTTGTCTTTGGGATCCTTCAGCAACAGAACCTTCATTGTTTACCAAATAACTGCAAAAGAACTCTGAAATACAATAATGGAATTTATCTAAATTAGATCTAGAGGACTTTCTGCTGAACAGTGACTTTAATAGCTCAGCTTGAAAGAAACTGGGTTGCTAACAGTTACGCTGCTCTCTATACAATGAGTAAGCACTTAACGTACATTCTCTGGGCATGAATATCCACCCTGATAAGACCAACAAATAACCTGCTGTCTTTAGATAATACCGCTTAAGGGAGAAACTATAATGAAAGTCACCAAGGAGAATACATTTTAAAGGAGAATACATTTTAAAGGAGAATATTTTGTAGAAGTAGCAACAACCCCTACAATGTAGTCACGTTCAGCAACATAATAAGCTCCTATCTATAAAAACTTATTCTATTCCTTTCCATGCTAGTTTCCTCCCTATGCTCATCATAACGAGTACGCAAGGGCTTATGTATCAAGTGATTTAATTTGATGCATTTGGGGTCTAACCCTTTTCACGGGGGAAAACATGTGCAGGGCAGTGTTTCAATTTTTTTTTAAAAATACAAACGTGTGTATATATACACACATTTATACATCTGAATATATCTAGTATTCATATGCCTTATTTGATATATCTTTAGCAAACAAAGCAAGACTGAAAAAATATATTCTGCCATTAAAATGGAAGATGATAGTTTTCAGCTCCTTAGAAGTTGACTTTGGTGCTGAATTCAAAGCCTGCTACAACACATAAGCAAATATACCAAGCATCAAAGTAAACAAATGCAATAACACAAACAAACAAATCCATTCTCTAACTGCACATTTACCTTAATCATCTATGGGTTACTTTCCTGATAGATTACATACTAGCAAATTCGCTTTAAAATGAATAATTATGAATATTCAAATGTACAGAACATCTTAAATTTTTTTCATTTGAATGACATGCATTGAAATCCTCAAAACTTCATCAAAGACAAAAAAACCTGTTCAGACAAAAATGAAAAGAGAAAAGAGGAAAGGCAGCTTTAGACAACAGTGGACAGAACAGGATCTGGTACAAGTAGCCAGAGCTCAGCGTCACACATTCGTTTACAGCCAGAAGCACTGCAAAATGCAGGTGGTGACCAGGGCACCCAAAGGAACTCAGTATCCGACTGCGATACTACATTAATTTTGTGGATTTTAAACTTCATTTTTTTAATACAGGTTTTAAAACGTGGTGTCATAATTTAGGTGTTTGATTCTGAGCGTCCTACCATTAGACACAGAAATGCTTATTTCCACAAGACTTCGAGCACTCAAAGTTGACACAATGGGAACAGGTAGGGCTTCGCAGTTCTGAAATACCAAGGCCAGTGAAGGCAAAGGGAATGACTGAAAGCGCACATAGAAGGAGAAACAAGAACTTTGTGAAGGGCCATATTGTCAAAAATTGTAATTCTTGCTGATTTCAAACTAGAGCAAATGTCAAAGTAGATCCCATCCATAGCTTTCAAGAGGTAGCCTCCCAAATGCTCTGGAGGATCCAGTTGCTAGTAGCTTGAAGGAGGCAGGGCTAAGCGACTTTTCTCAGTCACTTTAACACTGTAACAGTCTTTACTTTAAAAATTCTTGTAAAAATCTAGTCTGCACGGTTCTTTGTAGTACAGATTGTTGTTCTGATACTGAAGTTACTAGCAATCTTTACTATAACTCTACCTTCAGTGCTTATGCTCTAAGTACAATACAGCTACATTTCTACCAGTACTCTTAAAGTCTAACAGCACCAAGAAAAATGATGTTAACTCTAACCTACCACACCTTCCTATTTCCAAAATATGTAATGCTTAATAACATTATGAAGTCATCAAAGTATGAAGGTAAGGAAAAAAATAAAAGTCCTTCCAAACTGTGTAATACAAGAAAATAATACTTTTTGGAAAGTGCCATTTCCAAAAGTGTTGTACTAAAACCCCCAGATGATATGACAGAGTTAATTCAGGCACACCTGGGGAAAGCAGATTTCTAATTAATTTACTTTAGGTAGTTAGAACCATATTAACTTCCCATCCTATGCCTTATTACTGTGTCAAGTAATGAATAACAATAAGAAACGGGTAAACATCCATGCTTAACAAGGTGACTTAGGATAATCAAATTAATTATTTTGTTTAGATCCTGCATACAAAATACATACTGAAACCAAAGAATAATTACAAAGTCATAAAATATCATGAACTACTGCAAGATGCAATTACCTCGCTGTCTCCTCTACAAAGAAATCATACAAGCTGTATTTTGGACTCAGCCATCTGGCTCACTTGTAAAAAGAGCAAGACTGCACAGCCCTGGCGCTCCGAGAAGCCGCTGGCTTATTTTCAATTCTGCCAGAAGGCAGCTCATTTATCGGCTCCAAAAAGGGGCTGCAAGTGTCCCCCAGAAGACAAATTTGACCTAGGGAATCTGTAAGTTTGTGCATTCATGAATAACAGGTATTTTGATCTGCAACTACCCTCTGACTGCTTTTGGGTTTACTGCTGAAAAAATGAGTCTCTTTTTCCGCAGCCATCAGCCTCTCAGACCGTTCTGTTCTTTCCGCCTGTGTTGTTCGGACAGGTTCACACAGGTTTGGAGGCAGATGTGACCAAATGAAAACTGGTGGAATATACCCACTTCCAACTGCCAGGCCGTCCCATCCAACACTATGGGTGCAACCCACCCACACTCAGTGCCTTAGCGAGTGTGCCCCGCCACCACGTCACGGTCATTTGGGGCAAAATGCCACCTTGACGGGCAGGCAGGAGCGAAGGCAGACAAGATCCCAATGAGGGACAAGCACACGAGCACGTTTTCAAACCAAAAATACGCCAATATACATTCGAAGGGCGAAGGAGTTAAAACTCCATGATGGATTCTTTTTTGTGGGGAAAAACCAGGCAAGTTTTATGACTTGCTGCAATGATGCGAGGGTCCTACTGCACTGGGAATGGTAAGAGAAATACAGTATTTTTAATGGTTTACTTGTGTCCTTGCGATGTTACTAAGGAGTGCCCCACAAATGACTGAAATACAATTTTCCAAACAGCTAGCTTTCTGCTAAACACACGCAGAGTCAAGAACCCCGACAAACATTCCTATTGAATCAAAGAGCATTACAAGAAAGCACATAAATAAGACAGCACCTTTGGTAATTTTTCATGTATTCGGAGGGAAGTACTTACAATACAAATATATATTTTAGATATTTTAGATATTTTATATATTTTATCTATAAATTATTTCTTATATATCTTCTATTTAATCAAGAGAGGTATGCACAAACTTCTAAACCACTATAAAAAGTTTCTGTTTCAAACAATGAATGGACTTAGCAGAGTCCAGCAGTGCTCAATCTGTATCTGGAAAAGACAATGTGTACAAATAACCTTAGTAAGTTTTACCCTGCCAAGTCTTTGTTCATAGGATGATGCTCTTCAAATCTTAAAAAAATACCATTTAAAACCCATTAGGCTTACAAACAGCTAATAAGAGGCCAACAGATTTTCCTTCTTGAGCACACAGACACAAAGATGAAGAAAAGCTTGTATTAGTCAGTCTGAGGTTTGGGAACCACCCAATTAGCTCCGATAACAAACTACAAGAGCAACTGGAGTGTCTGAGGCATTACATCATGACTGAAGGCTAAAAGCAGCTTGGTGCGATTTCTCTGAGTCCACCTCACTTAACTTTAAGCCCACCTTACTTAATTTAGAAGGGTAATTTTAGGTCACACTGTATATTCAGAATATTACGCCTACAGACATAATTGAAATGCTTCCCATCCACAGCATCACACATTAAAATTCAACATCCCTGTGCCTTCCATTAAAATATAAAGCTGATGAAGATGTGTATCCCTGATATAAGTACAGTAAGAATGAGCAATACTCTGTCATATTAAAAAAAAAAACAACTTTGCAGACTTTTTATATCAAACTTTGTACAGAAAGAACATCTCTGTGGGTCACTCCACTTTCATTTCAAAAGCTGTCCCCAAACTAATCGCGAACTATCTTAAATACAGAGGACAGCTTGTAAAAAGAAATACATGGGTCCTTTTGTTTCTTGCTGCTAAGTGACACCAAGAGCTGCAAAACGTATTAAACTTTTCTAGTATTATTCCGATTATAAGTAACTGTATGGGTCACACAATAAGATTTGATTGCCAAGTGCAAAGGGAATCGTCTGTTCCATCATAAACATAAATGGAGATGAATTATAAGACACTATTGAGGTATGATTTAAAAGAAAAAACCTCTAAAAATCCCTGGGCTAGGATTTTTGATGCTACGCATTTCTTACCAATATTATTTTACTATGATTAGATGAGTTTAATAACCAGAGATGGAAAAAAAGCCTACTTGTAAGGCTGCCGTGAAGTATGGTTCAGAAATCTACCAAATTCACAGATAATGTCATACATATATCACCACGTACCAACAACAAAAAAAGATTTGAGAATAATTCCTGCTATTTGGGTGTCTATGTCACAGAACTCAACAACAAAACTAGTTCTTTGGCATGGCAATCCAGAGGAGCAGCAAAGGACTCAGACCTTTCGACTACATCGTGGATTTTTACCAAATGCAATGTTAGTCATTAGTGTCATTCTTGAGTGATAAAGTTTCAAAAATAAAATGGAAAACTGTATATAGATGCAGATTGCATCCCCACAGAGGCAGTTTTACTGCAGCAGTAAAGGGCTTTGCCAATACATCTTTCTCCACACTGTATTTTTTCCCTGTGCATCAGTATTCATATTTTGGCAATGACCTAAATGCTCCCAGAGCAGACACAGCCCTCAAAAAATGATAAAAATATAAACACAGACACATTTGATACCTGAAAGAGACAGGGAAATTCTAACCTATTTGGATTGTATTTATAAAGCCAAAATTACATCCCAGGCCCTGTGTGCCTTGCATTTCTTCTGGCTGGCAATAGCGAACGCTCAAGCTTCTTCTGCCAATGACCTCCTTAACATCTACCTTTCTTCA